ATGACTTCAAAGGAAGAGATTTACAACAAAGTGTATGAAACCATTAACAACTCCCTTCTAAACAGCTTATAGGTAAATAAAAAAATCAAATCTTGGACATTTTCACTGACAGATCAGTAAAATCATTTGATTCAGTGTGACTAACTTTGCTTTTCTCTCTCTCTCTTTACAGCAGAACGGGTCTAACAGCGGATTTGTGTATAAACTTGTAAATATAGAAATCTGAGTAAATGTATAACATCCATTCAGTAGCTCTAAGCCTGATTTGTAAATAGATAATCATGTAAGATATGAAGAACTAATGGCAGAAGTGCTGCGTTTTGTATAATCCTCTGTAACTGTTGTTTTTCTAACAAAGATAAGCCACCTCTGGACCGCCCAGTGTTTAAACACCAGTAACTTTGGTCTTGCTGTATTAAAAAAAATAAAAATAAAGTCTCACTGTTTGGAAGGATTTTTGTCTCCTGATTTAAAACCCCACTGAAACCACTTCATGTTTCCTGTTTTTCTTCCTTCTGTATCTCATGAAACAAACACACATCCGCGTAGTTCCTCTTTTGAGGCACAAACCTAACATCTGGCTGCACTTGAATGAGCCTTCTTATCATATAGATAAGATTTAGTGCTCCACAATAGTAGGAGTGGCTGATTCCCCTTTGAAAGACAGGAATTGAAATGTTTCAGGGAAAAGTTATTTATTAGACCTGCCTCCTTTTTTTCTCAAAACTTCTGATAAAGCAATATATTAAATGTACTTGGAGCATTCATGCATTTAAGAACATGGTGAACAAACATATATAATATAAAAAACTCAGTCATACTCATTAAAGGTCTTTTACTTTTAATCATCTATTTGTGTAACTAAGCTGAATGATTTGTCCCACACACGTTGCTCATTTTTCATAGTGTGTATAATTTTGGTGATTAATGTAGAAAATAATAATTAACACAGAGAAGTCCTTCAGACATTCTCAAGTTTATTCAGAGTCATTCTGATCCTCATTCAGAGAAACCTGCACACCATCTTCTTCTACTGCTTATAACAACAAACGCTTTATGTAGTCTTGGAGAGAAGAAGCGCAGCTTCAACCAGTGAGCACTTAACAAGACACAGTGTCTCCCTCTAAGGCTCTTGTGAAATTAACAGCGTGATATTTCTGTAAGCTCTGATGGGGAAATGATTTTCTCGCTTACATCTACTCTTAGAGGTCACAGCCCACCAGGAGGTCGTGCTAAAGCTTTAGCACTGGGAGGTAGGCTGGTTGAAAACTTCAATATGCTTCCCAGAGGTGTTCAACACCCCATCCAGCAACATTACACGACCTCTCTATCACCTATTCTGTAACACTCCTACAGAAATAAAGGAGCAAATCTTTCATTTTTGGCATCAGCTTCAACAAGCAGCAGTGTGAACCATGTCTGCACTTCTTCAAAGTCCTTTAGAGTCACCCACATAGCACAATCCCCGGCCTCAGCCGACAGAAACAAGGGGAGACACTGAGCAATGCATTTTCACTTTTATTGATATTTTAATATCAAGCACCAAAATTAATTATATGGTTACAATAAGGGGTTTAATTACTCCAGCTGATGACACAGAATCATTTTAAACCATTAAATGGACAATTTCTGCTGTAAGGGGCCAGTGACAACAATAGCAATACTCAGTTCAATAGCTCAGTGTTGGATAAAGGTTTTGGTCATAAAAGTTTACTCATACTGTACATTACTGTGAGAAAAGTCCAGCCAGCTCTGTCCCTGGACTTGGAAGATCCACAGAGGGTGTGTCGGGGAGAGTTCAGGGTCTTGTGATTCGTTTCTTGGAGTCTTCACATGCCAGCGTTGGCCTGCAGCAGGGGGTAGCTGCTCTGTTAGTTTATATTTAGGCTAAGTGCCTGAGGTGTCAGGGGAATAGATTTAGCATGCCTACAGAAATCACTTATTGCCACACACCCACTCGAGGCTCCGCAGCCCAGTCTGACTCAGGGGCTATCTGCCTTCATGCAACCGCCCAGTAAGGTGAGAACCTCGATACGTGGCATGTGCTCCCACGTCACCCCAACGCCATGGAAACCCCCAAATAAAGAGCCGGGGTGTCCATATTAGGGTGGAGAGGCAGTGACACAGGAGATGACTGGCTGTCACAAGCTCAGCAGAGCCTCTGTATGAGAGAACGAGGACCCCTGAGGTATGTGAACAGTTGTGGTTTCACCAGTAAATGAATGACAGGAAAATTTATGGTGGCTCACTGAGACAAACATGTATGAACAACTGAATCAGTTGTGGTCTATCATATGACTTACACGTGTAACAATAAGCGGGGATTAAAACATTTCAAATATTTTCAAATAACTTTTAAGCTCCTTTAAATTAATAAACCCACCTCCATACTTACTTATGGATCCCACAAGGTTGAATTGTAGGTGATAAACAAACAAATTTTTGTGAGTTACTATAAAATATTAAATGTTTAATTGGAGATCTTCAACTGATTTGTCATTTTTGTAATAGCCGATAACATAAAGAACTGCAGACACAGCAAGTATTAAAGGGTAATGTTAAATATCTCTAAGAAAAGATGATAAATTAATAAAGATTTAGGCTTTTGTGCTGAAAGTGCATGTTAGCTTAATCTGCATGACTTCTTCTGCCAGTCAAACACATGACTGACCATAATAGAGTCATATGTGTATTTTGGTCTTAGGCCAAAGTACACACATGACTGTATTCTGGTCCTGTCCTCCAGCAGTATGTGTGTTATTGACAGCAACTATTAGAAACTCGACCCACCTGATACCAACAAATGATCCTGGCAGCAGAAGATAATTAACTCAAGTGAGGAGGAAAAACAGTTGTGTAAAAGAAAGCTTCGCAGGACTTTATGCAGTTGTGTGAAAAACGAACCATACCCTGTTATTCAGTCACTTGTAGAACCAACTTTAACAACAATAACTTGAAGTAAAACTTCATTAACTTGAAGTAGTGACTTTCTGTTTATCTGAATTTTGGTTCACTGTTCTTTGCTTCAGTTCATTGAGGTTTGCAGGTATTTGTTTATGCACAGGTCCCATCACAGCATGTCAGTCAGGTTGAGGTCTGGATTTTAACCAGGCCATTGTAACCCTTATTTCCTCTCTTTTTCATCCATCCTGTTGCAGATTTTATGCTGTGCTTGGGAGTTTCAGTCAGTCTTTAGCTGTGAGACAACACCTGCACATTGACTCTAGAATACTTTGGTATACAGAAGACTTCATGGTCGACTCAATTACTGCAAGATGCCCCGGTCATGTGACTGCAATACAAGCTGAAATCATCAACCCCTGCTCTGCTTGGTTTTTGCCAAACATGGTGCTTTGCATTTTGCCCAAGTATCTCCGATGTTGTCTCATCTGCCCAAAGGACATCGTCCCAGAATTCTTGTGGTTTGTTCAGATGCAACTTTGAAATCTAAACTGTTGTGCCATATTCATTTTAGAGAGAAGACGCTTTCACCTAGAAAATCCTCCAAACAAACAACAGCTGTTCACTCTTTTTCTAATTTTTCCATTGTGAACTTTAACATTTGACATGCTAACTGAAGCCTGTAGAGTCTGGGTTCTTGTTCTTTGGGGTTTTTTGGCTTGTAATGAATTTGTTGGGATGTCCACTCCTGAGAAAAATGTCCACTGCCAAACCTTTGCTTTCATAGAGGTGCTCAGAGTTCCTGAGGAATATTAATCAAGTGCATTTGATTACCAGCACCTGGCTGCTAATTACCCTCTTAATTCCTATGGAAGAAGTAAGGGTGTACTTAGTTTTTTTTTTTTTTTGACACGACTGCACTGAGTCCCGTGAAAACATTTTTTTTCACATGATTGTACACTCCATGAATTAATGACTGACAGTTGCTATTAGAAACTGCACAATTAGTGCAAATTGACCCTCCCAGCAGAAGAGCACTCCACCTACTCAGGAGCAGACACATTGTTTAGTTAACATAAACAGGCTAAAATTCAATAGTTTAGTCTTTAATACTTAACATGTACCACGCAAGAGTGATTTAATGTAGTTTTGGATTTTCATTGACTTGCTCATTGTTAATTATTTGAAACAATACACCACATGGCTGATCGTTTATTTTTACAAGTAAACACAAGATTCATTTATTAATATGTTTTTTAAAAATGTGATTTGATCATCGAACATAAAAATGTATAACAGCGCTCAACCTTTAAGTACTTTGGTATACTACAGTGTGGTTTCAGAAACGTTTCTTAAACTTACAGAAGTTTCAGCACCAAGTTAAAAAACATGCTCATCATATAGATTAGCCCATAATAAATCAATATATATTATATATGTATTAGATATAAGGCATGATTATTATTTATTGGCTGTAATGTTGCAGCTTGTTTTTGCTGCTTTTATAGAGTTTTGTTTAATTTATTACAACACATCACACTGAATATTTTAACAAATGATCCAAATGTGGAAAATTATTCACATCTTAAGTTTTAAATGAAACAAAGTTGAATAAAACTGTAAAAATGGAACCACTCAGTAAAGTAAAAGGACTCTGACAAGCTTAACCTTGAAAACACAAAGTTTTTGGCCCGGGGTCACATTAAGGCAGTTTTTAATAGGTTACATATCAAAAGTTCACCAGACAAATCGCCACGTGTGAATGAATGAATGAAAACGTGACGATGGACACAGCAGCATGTGTCTCACTGATGAAATGTGAGGAGCGCTGACGGGCTGATTTGTGCCAAGGGTTAATCAAAGATAAGCAAGAAGCGTTTCACAAGAAAGCTGACGCTCTGCCGCTCTGCCGCTCCGACAGCCTATAATTAATCTTCCACTAGACATTGAAGCATTTTATTTCAGGTTACACTAAAAAAGGAACTTGTTTTATTTAAAGCTTTTTGCTTTAACAGGCATTAAACATCCACATGAGCGCAGAACCCAAAACAGTTTACTAACAAATGTCATTTTTCAAGCATTTTTTTTCAGTATCTCACCTGTATTGTCTCCCCATGATCTGTGGTAAACCCTCTGGATCTATCATTATACTCCTCAGAGTGGCAGTGTGAGGCCTCAGGGGAAAGCAACAGGTATATTCCATGTAGGGGAAGTTTCTTGTGGTAAAACCATTTTAAGACCATCATCTTCCTTAACAAGAAGCAAAGCTGTGAGCAGCCCTGGATACCTAGATTCACGGGATAAGATATATTCAGTGTAAAAGAATTAGTCACCCGGGGAAGGATCTGCTGCTGCTGCTGTAGGTGTACCATGAAAACAACCAGAAACTGTTTATTTTTATTTCCAAGCACTCCCAATTCACAGTCACAGATTAGTTTTTGTGGCAGCATTTGTCGTGATTTGTTTACTTTCAGTTCAGACACACAAGAAAGACTTAATTCAACATTAATACTTACTGGCTACATTTTGTGGGTTACTTGTCCTGCTCGGGAAGTCTTGTGCCAAACCAGTGCCGAGGATCTGCGTCTGTTATAAATCTAGATGCAGGGGCGGTGCCAGACTTTGGAAGAGAGAAGGTTTCTCCAGCTAAGAATAGAAAAGCATGAAGGCTCACCATCTCGATGCCCTTTTTGGCAGAGGAAAGATACTGCGACACTTCAGCAGCACTTCTCCATATGTCAGTGTCTTTTAACCTGTTCGTGACCCATATCTAACTCATACCTTACCTGAAAAAAAGATCCTGCTGATGTTAATCAAACTCTCAGCTAATTTTCAGATTTAAAACTTAAGACACGCAGTAAAAGAAAGTATCAAAGTATATTTGTTTGTCACAATGAAATATTATCTGTATTTATGTCCCTGTTCTTTTTAAAAAAAAAGTTTTTTCTTTAATGTGTGAAAGTACTGTGCTCTCCCTTTTTCTGTCACAATATTACAAAAAACAATAAAGTTCTAATATTGGGTAGACATAAAGGAACTTCCTGTGAGCCAAAAACTTCACACCTTCTGTTTGCATGGGACAGCCAATCAGAAAACGTCTGGCTTAAAGGGAACTAACACAGCAGCACAAACGTCCATTATAAGATTTGTATGTCTGTTGCTTTTGTTGTGCTTTTCTTGTTTTTGGTTCTCTAATTTCTTCCCACTTTCTGTGTTGCTGAGTGGTTTTTCTTACTGTAGTTTAAAAAATAGGGAGCATGAAACGGGACTTATATAATCATTTTAATATATTGGACTTGTCTGGAACAAGACAGTGTTTCGTTATTGTGCATAGTCACTGCGTCTTGTAATTGCTGATGTTTAAGACAGCTGTTGAGCTCCTAATAGCAGACTGATGTTTTTCTTTCAGTACTTACTACAGATCCTCTCACAAGGTTCATACTGTTATAGCAGTTCATACAATGTGATTGGGACATACTAGCTCATCGTAACAATCTTAACATTGTGCCTTGAGCTTTGACCTGCTTACCTTCAGGCTCTGCTGTTGTGTAGCTGGCAGAGAGCATCGTGGGGCAGAAAGTCCAGAGCAGCAGTGGGAGACGCCAGCATTTCTGGCACACTTAATTTAAAAACAAGGTATAATAGTATACACCAAACATGTGTTTAAGCTTGAACCCAAGCAGCTTGTGTGTCGAACACAGCTACTATCAGGTCCAACTGCAGCCTTGCAGACCCATTGAGCCAACTTCACGCTGTTACACAACACTCCGCTCCATCTTAAACCTAACTTTAACCCCTTGCGATAAAATCTCCACCTCACTTTCAAATACCATGTGGTGCAGTTTCAGCTAAATATACATGATACTGTTCTGCTCCAGATAAGGGCAAATGAACTGTATTTTGTTTTTAAAGAGTGGGTTAAAAATTTGTAAAGACAGATCATATTATCTGTAATAAAACAGAAAAGATGCAAAATATATTTATATTATGTAGGATTTAAATCTGGAATCAGATTAAACATAATAGCTTGCTTGTATTATTTATTTGGTAATATATTGATTTTTTAAAAAAGGTATAGCTGAACAATGAAGGCACTGACCATAGGCTTTGAAAAGAAATCCCCAAAGAAACACCTTTGAGCATAACAAACAGAAGCGTGTTTAAAACCTGTGCAGCTAGCCTTAAAAAAGAGTTATAGTCATAAATGACAAAAGAAAAGATGGACATATTTTATGGGAACGGGCTCCCTCCGTGATAGCTGTTAGGGCACTGCAAACTGGGATGGTCTGATACAGATGCAAAGTGCCACCTTGTGGTCAATAAGACTATTTACGCAATGTAAAGTTTTTCCAGATTGTTGCATGTCTTCATGTTTCATTTGAAACGTCAACTGTTATCGTTGTTTTGTTGTTGTTGTTTTTGTTCGTTTGTGGGGTTTTTAGCTTGATAAACTGGTCGTGCGTGATTTTTTAACTCCATATAAAGATATCTTTAGCTTTTTCGCATTTTAGCCGTGATCAACGTGTCAAATAACAAGGAGTGATATTGAAATAAAAAAGTTCTGCTCAACAAAAAATATTACTTAAACACAACAACTCATATCCTTTTGTGTTCTTTAGTGTTCCCTGAGCTTTACCAGCTCGAGGTGATGCATTTGGCTGAGTTAAGTTTACACCCTTGCGTGAAATTTACTCAGCAAACGTACTTGTCTAACCGCACGTAACCACAGCAAGGAATGGGTTAAATTCTTTAGAAGCTTGACTTAGTGAAAGTAACTGGACTGAATTCGACAAACGAGCAAAAGGATTCCCTCCTCTCCTCTCCATCTCTCAGTCCTCCTGAGAAGTGCTATGTTGTTTTGTGTCAGAGCTGAAACTGGAAGCGCACTGCCGATTTTAATCCATTCTCCACGAAGCTTCAACGTCTGTGCCCGCAAACTTACGTGATGTTTGCTAACTTACACTTAGGCTTTAATTTATTAAGTTTAATTGCCATGGCTAAACGATCACTTTTATTTTTATATATTTTCCAAGGACTACTCCCCCTCAGCTTTGGGCAGCAGCGCACGGTTGGCCCCTGGCGGCACCGGATTCAATGGGAGAACAACGGGCAGGTTTACAGTTTAATGAGCACTGGGCTGAGTACCAGGCTCCGTATCGGTCCACCAGCCAGTCGAGGGTTTACGTGAGCAGTCGGAGGGATGGTACCGGGACCCAGATGTCTGGAGCGCGCAGAAGAATGACGCTTGTGAGAACCGGACCAAATGAATCCAGACAGTTCAGGACTGATAACAGTGCACAGTCGGGACTTCTCACACCTGGACACGATGTTAGACCGTATGCGCCGTGAATCGTCATGCGTCAGGGTTCGACAGCGACTTGAACGCCCTACAGCAGCAGTTGTAAGACATCCAGGCGCACGCCATTTTAATGGTGAATTCACCAGAACCACGAACGCCTCTTCACCGGGGAGTTCAACAGATTTTTCTGGCGGTAATGGAGGTTCTGTCACTGTGGATAATACCGTACTACATACTAGAATAGGTGAATCCGGACCTGGTGCGCAAAACCAACAGTTACGCGCGGGGCCGGAGGTGACACCCGTCTCCAGGCAACCTGCTCAGACTGATCGCTCCATCTCAGCAAACCCGTCAGGTCTGGAAAATGAGTCTGAGGCACCGGCTGTATTTCCTGCACTTACTGAGGAAAACAGCAATGGAGAGGACATGGTCAATGACGACCCTCGAAACCCGCTTAAAAACCACAGGAATTCTGTTTTCTACAACATGTATCCGACCAGAGGGAGGTCAGCGGCCCGCACCCTCCGTCCGCCTGGCACAGGGTACGGCACAGGATATTTCCAAAACGGTAGGTCAAGTGTTCCATTTATATAATATTAGAGAAGTCAGATTATGTAGATCAGGGGTGTCAGACATAAGGCCTCTGTCTGGCCCACGGGACGGTGTAAAGGATAGTTCAGATTTTGAACTTTTAAAAGTAATTTATTAAGTTTTACAGTTTTTGCTATTGATCCATTCATACTACATAAAAGTACATTTTCTGTGAATTAATGAAAACTTTATATTCTAAATTTATGATAACAAGACAGAGCCTTTACACCTTAATCATTTCGTTTCACTGATCAGGCCCACTTCACATGAACGTCCACGATGTAAAACGAGTTTGACATCCCTGATATTTGTTAGCTGTTCTTCAAATTTTATATTTCATATAGTTAGCCAAATGGATAGATTTGCAATGTAAATTATTAAAATTAAGAGTGGATTAAGAAACTGTGTCTGTGATCAATATTTTAAAATAATATAATTCCAGCAAGCAAAACCTGTTTTAGTGTTAATTTGGCCACTACTTTAAAACAGCTTGTTATCCATTATTTGGCATGAATATTACTGGCTTTACATTCATGTAACGGTTCTATGGACACACAAAAACACTGTTATATTTAAAATCATCTGCTTGTTTGATTATTTAAGGACAATTTTCATAACTTTATGTCTCACCTTAAACAAAAAGCCAAGGAGCGAGAGAAAAAAAAGTCTTATTTGGCTTTTGGAGCTGTAAGGAATGTGAAACATGTTAAATTATGCCAACAAACACAAAGCAGCTTACATTTCCAGGGTGTCTATTTCTGTGGATTATTCTCAGCCTGAATAAGTTGGGAACATTAAGATGTCAGGAGGAAAAAAAAAACTTGGACTGTCCATTTAATCTCCTCCCAACAGGACTGCCAGACCTTGTGCCAGACCCATATGCCATCCAAGCAGGTACCTATGTCCAGCGCATGCAGATGTACGCGCTTCGCTGTGCAGCTGAGGAGAACTGTCTGGCCAGGTAATCTGAGGTGCCAGAAGTGATTCACTTCTTCAGTATGAACAGAGCAGCACGTAGACACTGAGGCAGACACGCATACTTATGTCCTTTGTTTTGTTTTTTCTCAGTGGGGATCCGTTTTACGTGCTTAAGAACAACTTTTAGTTGTTTTAGGGTTGCATTCAATTATGCCAGTGTAAGCTGTTAAGCATGCTGGGATAACTGTTTTGTTAAGCGAGTTACAAAAGCATTTGATCTTATTACGTAGCAATGATTGTCCAACATGACTGTCCAACATCATGTCCTGCCAAGACATAAATGTTCTGGTTTGGTTTTCCCAAAAGCATTAAGCACAATGGAACAAACCCTTTGCGCTCTGTTACTTTTAAGAAAACTAGACCTGGGAGCTCAGCCAGTAGCACTTTTCCAATGCAGCTTACGCTTTTTTCTCCTGTGATTCATCCAAGATCGGCTTATGGACCCACTGTGCGAGACATCAACTTCAGAGTCCTCCTGCGGTTTCCACAGAAAGTGAAGAACCAAGGCACCGCTGACTTCCTCCCTTTCAAGCCCAGATATCAGTGGGACTGGCACAGCTGTCACCAGTGAGTTTGATGACTCCTAAATCCTTTTTCTTAAAAAAAAATTTTAAAAAGGGATTAGCCATTCAGATATGACAAACTAGGAAGAACACCAAACCCTCAAAATTCACATAAGACAATAAAATTGCGGGTTTTTTAGACATTCCTGAGCC